GTGAAATGTATCCATCAGAGTCGATTACCCTCGTTTTTTATTTGTTTGTTTGTTTGTTTCCAGGCGTCAGACACTTGCTACTGGTGATTCACATGGGCGAATCAAAATATGGCGACTTAGTGATGAGCTAACAACCCAGTCCAACCGAGAGGAAGAATTCCTGGCGGTTATAGCAAATGACACACAAACAGAATAGGTAACAGCAACAGCGACATAAACCTCGTTTCCAAGAATTTTTGCTCTTCTCGGCCACCGGAAAGAGAGAAGGCGTGGAGAAGATAGAGAGACTGGGAACAAGGATGCAGCGAGATATGTGTTGGTCGTATTCGCCTCTTCGACACGGTACTTTGGGTTATGGAGACCACAGGCTGTATTCGGCGAAGAAACAGCTGAATTCCTACTTCTCGTACAAACACATTCCCTGAATATTGAAAATTTATCTGGGAGAAACTTAAAAAAAATCTCGGAATTCATCGAAATTGATTATTTTGCGAAAAGAGATAATGATGTTCGCTTTCTGGAATTTGCGAGTTAAGTATATGTGGGCGGTTTTACTTCCTAACGAGATTAATGCAAGGAAAGTTCTGCTTAAATTTCTTTAAGATGCCCGCTTTCGAATTCCCATGTTTTGTGAAAAACAGATCATTCACAAGGGGTCACTAGTTCGAGTTTGTTTTACTTTATGCTCTTCTTTCAAATTTGTTTTTGTTTTCTTTTTTTCTTTCTCTTCGAGAGGTTATGGTATAAAATGGACTCTTCAAACTGAATGGAATTTCATCTACTTTCGCTTGCTCCATGCACTGCAAGGGGAACAGATATCTTTATCTCGACAAACTTAACAAGAAACATGTCTTCAAAAGTATTACCATTTTCAATTATTTGTCACTATTTACAGCCCACTCAAGGTTTTCTCATCATTTTTTGAGTTTTTGAAGGTGTATACAGTGTCCGAAATTGCGCTTTCCTGGTCGCCAATGCGACTAAAAACTTTGCACTGGCGACCAGAATTCATAACCGGTTGCCAGCAGGCGATTAACTTTTTCATGCCACGATAATTATACAAACAATAACTTTGATTTTCAGCCAAATCGATGAAATGTGTGGCTTGTGTTTCGCTACAAAGGAAAAATTTTATTGTCACTTTTTGGCGACCACATTTTTCCATATTTTTCATTCGCTCCGACGAAGGGCTAATGCTCGAAACGTCAGCTTTTGTAATCGTTACGGTGGCCAATTTACCACTTCAACTTTGTTGATATATCCACATTTTTCCATATGACGAGTGAAAAAAAATTCCCGTCGCCAGTTGGCGCCTGCCTAAAAAAAGTTAATCTCGGACCCTGGTATAGCGAATCGGTTGAGAATTGGAGCCGAGTAACAAAACAAGGGACCGGCGAGATTTGTGTTATGCTGAAACATTAGAGAATAATGCATGAGAACATTATTTTTTCTTGGCTAAAATTCAGTTGCATTCTGACACTGTTGGAGACGATAACTACACCCCGTCACTCGCTAATTTCTTCAGGAAAAAAATTTTTTTGATCGACGTTTTCCTCGATGTAATCGCCCTGACCACGCAGGGTTCCAATTGTGAAGTTTGGACGGGCCTTAGCTTATTTTGTTTTTGTCATGAAATTAGCGTATTCTAGTATAATCTAAAGCAGTGGATAGCGTTGAAGGCGCGCTCTTATTGGTTACTCAACTCCGAATATCTTTTGTATTCACCTCCGAGTAACTCGCCCGGAATTTGCGCCCGTTCGATTCGCACTTTCTCGTTTGATAATCAAAACAGGCTGTTGACGCTTAATTATTGTAGGAAAAAATACAAAATCATGGCAAGCGTCCACACAAAACTCAAAATGGACGTTTTAAACCAACCATAGCTTGTAATTCGCCGTCTTCTAGTACTAGCCGGTCTTGACTCGAGATGTCTAGCATATATGGAAATAGGTGGATAGCGTGGACGGCGTCCTGCGATTGGCTACTTAAATTCCGAATATTCTTACTATTCACCTCCGAGGGACTTGCGCCGTTGCGTTGCAGGAATAAATGAGTTAAAATCATCTTTTTGTGCAACATTTTATTATCTCACTGTTTTAGTACATATACTTAAACCACTATTCATCTCGGTGTTGGTGGCTTGTGGTGGATTTTACTGAGCCGCGAGCAACCAACACTTGAGGTAAGAGGTTATTGTATTAAGAAATTTGGCATTTATATCATTATAACAGTTTTTGAAGCTGCAGTAATTAAAATCAATAACGACCATAACAAAACCTAAAATTTTTCCAGGACGGGGTTTTTATTTTTTTCAATATTATAGTTTCCAAGGACAAGTCCATCAATCAAAGGGGTGTCAGCGCACAAAAATACATTCAAAACTTGTATTTAGTGAACCAATTGTCGCTTCAACACTCTAATGCGTGCGACATCAGTCAATGCAGTACGTAGTGTTCCAACGTAACGACGCTTACCATACTCGGCACCGTTTGCGGCCTCAAGAATTTTCAGTATCTTGTCATAGCGCAATTCACCTTTTTCGTCCGCGAGGATTTCCTTGCCGAATTGCTAAAAAATAGTAAGTAAAAAATAGTAATCAGAGTCAAGTTGATTAGTTGTTTGTGATAGTGTAGTCTGATCGTCAAGTTGAGTGTAGTCCTGAAAAGGACTGTTTTTGGTAGTAGTGACCAACGTTTTGACGACTTCATCCGAAGTCATCATCACAGTCAAGTGGTCGAATGATTGGTCGGTTTAGCCGTGATGTTCTTGGCTGCAAGAGTCACGTTACTTGATCAGTCTTATCAAATGTTACCCCCGGGTTCAAACTATTTACTGCAATTAGTTGTTTATGAGTCGAGAATTGCAGGTCTGTTTCTTGTTAACTTATCGGTCAGTTTTGCAGTGATGTTACTGGCTGAAAGACTCGAGTATCATAGGTCGGTCCTGATCGATCAGTTTTGATCCTCCTGTATTGTTAGATCGTTCTGTTCAGTTTGTTGGTTGTGCAAATGTCGTGAATAAGTCCTTCCTGAGGTGCCGGTGGCTGTTAAGCAAACCGGTCTTTGGTCTAAGACCATCGGTAGCAGACTTGGCCGAGGAACGTTACAAGGGCGATCTTATAAGCAAATCAGGGGAGAAGGTAAGGTTTAAAGAAAATTAGGAATCAAATACTAACATGAAAAATTTTCTTGACGAAACTCTTGTCAGTGCTGACTTTTGCCTTCTTAAGAGGTCTTACGCCGGGCCCAATCCAAGTAATAAAGGCAAACTTCGCTCTGCGAGACATCTCGTCACCAGTCTCAAAGCGTACATAACCATAAGCTCGGTTATCGTCTGGTATAAAAACAAAAAGCCACGCAAACATACATGAAACAGTTGATATTAAGGTAAAGTAACTTGCGACTGCACCCACTTCACTCCATTTGTGTGGACGAGCGAAGAAGCGAGACGAGAGAGAGAAAAACGAGGAAGGGGAAGGGGAACGATGTAAATCTTTTCTTGGTCCTTTCCAAACCCATGAAAATTTTTGCTCGCTCTCAAAGTGCCGATCGCAAGCTGGTGTAACGCGCGAATACGTCCATGCAAGTACTCTCATTTTCTCCTCGTTCCCAGACCCCCGCCAAGCTCGCTCGCTTTTTCGTTCGTCTCTTTTGCCTTAAAGCCTGAATGAAAAAAGATGGCAGGGTATTACTCGACAACATCAGATAGACATGGATCGTTAATTCCTTGCACCCGTTAGATAAAAAATACACTACTTTTAAAGTTGACGAAAGCTCACAAACAACTCAATTAGAGGTTGATCTCTTGCAGTTCCCCTTTTTTATTCTTTCCTGTCCTTTCTCTATCTGTTTTGTTTTGTTTCTATTTATTAATGTCCTCAGTCAATACAAACTATTAATATTGGCAGAACATTTCAGAGTCTCCAGGAAGGGCGTTGCTTTTTCCTGCTATTGCCCATGAAAGGATCCGAAAATGAAAAATTCGAGAATAGAGAATGACTTTCAAATCAGGGATACATTGATTCCATTTAAGCTTTTTTTACTGTATTTCTTGTCCTGGTTAGAACTTGTTATCACAGTCAATGCCATCACTTACCGTTTAGATAGCCCAGAAATTCATCGTAGTCAGTACCAGTGGCTGAGAGTTTTATTCCTTTTCCCTCGTAAGTACATACTAGCCTGGGATCAAAGGGAGAGCTAATAGTAAACAATTTTGTATCATTTTGATTACAGTCCATCACTGAATCTGCTCATTCGGTTCAAACGCGTCACGAGAACTGAAATGTTTCCACTTAAACGGAAAGATATCCGGTAACTTTCTCCCCCTCCTCTTCCTTTAAAAGTTGATTCAAGGTGGCAGAGCATTTTGCTGTTGTTACAGGTGCATAAACATATCTTTCTTTTATCGTAAAGTCGCTCTAAAAGTCAAATCTCTTTTCGATTATAGGCTTTTAGCGTAAATTTGATTTCTGCTGGGCGAGAGTGAATTAGACTGTCACAGACAGCATGCGTGTCACCCGGCTCTCTTGCAGGCGTGGTATTCGCAATTTCGTCAAGTACACTGTTGCATAGGAGGTCAATGGGGACAGAGCCCCAGTGACTAAACCTGCAGCTTTCTACCTCACTCGTTTATCTTATCAGTATTTTACTCACCAGCTGGTTTGGGTCGAATCATCTCGTACGTCTTCATAAGCGTCTTGAAGGGACGCCTCATCAATTATGATGCCTTGAAATAAAGAGAAGGTTTAGAGGAATCATTATCCTAATCTTCAATAGCACTAACTCTAACTTTGACACTGTCATTGTCATTGCCATTATCAATATCATTGTTTCTCATTACCTTTGGCGTTTTCATTCCCGTTGCCATTGCCATTGTCATTGTCAT